AGTGAATGCATAAGAAATGTGAAAGTGGTTTGTTGAGGACCAAAGGTTCCCTAGTTTTAAAATGTTGAAAGGCGCGTTACGAATGCACGTGACGAAAGAAACGAGAAAGAATAGCGCGTTGGCTTGTGGGGAGGGCATATTTAGCTGATTCAGCATTCTTACGCACATGCGCATTGGTTAACACGTCCATATTTACCTGATTAAACATGCCTAAGCACATGCGCATTGGCTAACAGGTCCATATTTAGCAGATTCCGATTCTTACACACACGCTCCTTGGTACGAAGTCCATATTTACCTGATTCAACATATACATACAGGTTGCCGGGGTGATCCACTCACGAGCATGAATACCACAGTTCATGAAGAGAGTCTTCTTGTCTGCTCCAGAACTGAGCTGATGATCACAAACAAAATTAATTTTATTGGTTACATGCAACGCTAGATGATCGGGGACAGTAAAGGTTGTCTGTTGTTGGTTATATTCATCACTGTATGCTCGGGGGATACTTAAGGTTTTCTATTGTATCTGTGTACCTTGATTGCGCTCATCTGTCTTCCTTGGTAAGATGTTCCAACACTGAACATGGATGCGATGTTAGGTCGGGTTTGCACCAGCCTTTGCATCTCAGCCACAATCTACAAAAAGTCACATTTCAATTTTTTTCAAATTAATAGGAAGGGATACTAAAGCGCACTTTTATCGTGGAGGTCAAAAAATGGTTATCTTGGAAAATGTTGGATAGATGGATGGAGGGAGGGAGGGAGGGAGGGAGGGAGGGGAGGGGGGCTGCAAGCCTCTCAAGCCATCCCAGACTTCTGCTCCTAAGATTTCTGGTCACCCAGACGTTGCCGAATGATATTTGCATCCAATTTGATGTCATATAATCAAATAAGAAGGCTTCCAAAATATTGCGCAGTCAATTTTGTTTGGTAGAGGTGCTGATTCTAATCCTGAAACTTCTGTTCACACTTTGTGGCCCTTCAACTTCATATGATTTGGTTGGGTACTTGACATCTGGGTAACATCTTGTGTTTTAGATGAGGATATCAAGCTCAACAGCACGATCTTCCACTGGCCTGAACACATCCAGAAAATCTTCGAACTCAGCAAGAGCAGAATCGGTCATCGTAAAGACTTGGCTCAAGATGACCTCAGGAGAAGGTGAGCTCGTTATACATATCTAATCCGTTAGGTGCCATCTTGTTTGATTTGTAAGAAGACTCAGGTACAACAGAAAAATAAAATGAATAATTAACGAGTGATTAACGGTGGAATATTTACCGAGCTGCGAGTCGTCACTGAGCCTAAGGGGAATTATTGTTTTAGTGTAATTTTGGACTTTAATATCACAGGAAAGTTGAAATTCAGATTAAAAAAAAAAGTTTTAGTATCATTTTCGCTCGGGCAAACTTTGAAAGAACCTCATAATCGCCGCTCGAGCAGTGATTATCGTCTCACTGGTCGCTTGGCCAATCATAGCGTGAGAAACCCTTTATTCCAGTCTAAATTATACTATTGATATTTAAATGACCATCTCAACCTCCAGACCTTTCCTTTGAGTTTTGTTAAATTGGAAAAATATTTTTTTGAACAGAATAAAGGCTTTCGAAGAAAAGCTGAATGGATACAACAAGGAAGTCGAATCATTCAGAAAGAAAGAGGTAAGGACTTGTTATGGAAATGACCATGATACTTTGATCACATAGGTGCACACTCTTATCCCTATTCTCCAGTCCCCGCGGCCCCACCCACTCGATACTAGCACGGCCAAACCAACTCATTATTAGAATTGTCAGAGCACGGTACAAAATTGACTACATCCTTTTAAGTAGTCAGATCACACGTTATCAACGTTCAGCCAATGTAGAAGTTCGATCTCCGTACCGGCACGGTCACTGCCACGGTACTTTTTCACGGTAAAATGTTGACAGTCATAATAAATCTGCTGTATATCGTTACCATCACAGTTATTGTCATTATTTCCATCATGACTTTTATTAAAAAATAGTGCTTACATATTCCTATTGCGCCTAGTTAGTATTGTATCTGTATTTGTGGCTATGGTGTTTACTACCTTGTTCATAACCATGTCTTCCTTTTGCACCAGATAATGGCGTTGGAGGAGATGAAAAAGAATGTTGAGAAACTCGACGAACTAGATGATGCTCTGAAAAAGGCAGTGGATGAGCTGGCGGTACGTATTAACTGGTTGTTCTCGTTTTCCTTTCTACCGTCCTTTCCTTCTTCCTTTTCTTCGTACCTTGCTTCCTTCCATCCCTACTTCCCATCCACATTCCATCCTTATATGATATTTGTTTGCTTCATTCTTGTTCTTTCTCCCATCCACTCTTGCATTTGCGTGCTCGTTTTCTTCCATCTCTTTCTCTCTTTATTTTTCCTTCCCCCCTATTTGATGGTTCCTTTCCCCCTTGTTTACCTCCGCTTGTCGTAGTCCCGTCTTTAATCAAGACCCCCTATTCAAGCTAGCTTTGTTTCTTTTGTTTTCCAGGATCTGAATACAGAGGAAGAGCTGCTACAGTGGGAGCCAACTCAGTTCCCTATCTTACAGACCATGCTTGCATACAAAGAACCTTATGAGAAACTATGGAAGACAGCTTTGACCTTTAACAACAAACACGAAGCATGGCTCAATGGTAATGTCACCGTTATGCACGTTATTAATCGATTTTTTACAACTGTATAGCTTAGAATTTTACTCACTTTCGAATCCGTGTATTAAGACGTGGGAAGCCATTAGAAGCCTATTAAAACGGGTGCTTATCTCTCTTCGTTACCTGTAATATAAAGCGACTAGGAATATCACTTTTCCTCTAGAGGAAAGCAGGTGATCCCCCCCCACTAAGCAGTGGCCCTCAGCAGGTCACCTCCAAGAATTTACTGTTGCAGTCTCAGTAGAGAGATGCATTTCAATGTGTTTAGTTTAACGACACAGGTCTGTGTAGCTAGAGGGCATGTCTCAAGTCCAACACACTTATCACCGGGCACCGCATTTCATGATGTAGCGTAACTTTCCTGTTAATAAACTATCACGCAGTGGTATGACCAGAAACCGAAAATAATAAGATTCATCTTGATATTTTTAGGGCCCTTTGTGGAGATCAACGCAGAAGAGGTCGAGGAAGAAATCTCATCTATGTTTCGTACAGTATTCAAACTCAGTAAAACGTTTGGAGACGTCCCGGCACCAAGACGTGTGGCTGATAGCGTCAAGAGTAAGATTGACAAGTTCAAAGTTCACCTGCCACTTCTGCAGGTCATCTGTAACCCTGGCCTTCGAGACAGGCATTGGGAACAGGTTTGTAGGCTACAGATGTACTGGACATTTCATATAGAGCACTGTATGTACGATTGGAAAGCGATACGACAACTGCATAGTCGTACGGTATTATACCGTAGCTTGATTGGATGAAGTGCACAAATATAATGAACCTTTTTTGGGATAGCGAACATGATGAATTGTGGTCTAGCTTGTGCACAAACAATTCTTGTTTAAGATGTCTTATTATATATATATGGTGTTGTTCGTAATAAAACTAAATCACAATGCATGTTTAGCTAATTTAAAAAGTTGTATGGAAACTGATATAGTCCTATCTCCCACTCGAACGAAAACAACTCTGAGACTCACGGCACGGAGTTGTGATTTGCGCAAGACGCGACCCAAGTGTTTCCATTTAGTTTACAGTAAAATTTCATACCTTGACCGTGCCGTGCCACAGAAGTCACACAAGATCTGCTTTATCTTTTGGTACTTCACAGTCGCCTATTATTTTTCGTTTGATAGATGAGCGAAGTTGTAGAGTTTGACATCAAGCCAGAACCAACTACCTCTCTTTGTAACATGCTGGAGTACAATCTACACAAAAACATGAACAAGTACGTTACCTCATAATACTCGAAGAAAAAAAWATATTTTATACGTTGCTTTATTTTTGTTGCGCAGTGCACGTTTGGAAACTCATTTGTGGCTCCATTGTGTACTCATGTTATCCCGTGATGCATTGTTACCCAAATACCGCCAAGGGATATTGTACTACTGACAGTAATATCAGTCTATAAAGTAATCCAAATTTTTGATTAGTTTAGAAGAACATGTGTTATCCCATTAAATCTAAAAGTTCAGGTGACGTCATAATTGAGTGACGTCATTGCTTTATGTCATTGTATACTTATCATATATTATGTACTTTTTGATACTTTAGACTGGAAGAAATAAGCGGTTCAGCCAGTAAGGAATTTGCTCTGGAGAAAGCCATGGAGAAGATGAAGATAGAATGGAATGATATGAATTTTGAGTTTGTTCCTTACAGAGACACGGTATTGTTATAGAATTCATTGAATTTGAGCATATGCTTCATTATCATTATCATAACCATCGATCAGTATCATCATAACAGTCATCATCAGTCATCGTAACCATCATCCTTTATCATTATCATCATCATCATAATTACCATCATTACCAGTAATCATCATCATCATCATCATCAACATCCCCAGTCATCATATTCGTGATCACTATCAGTTATCATGACCACCATCATTATCATAATCGTCATCACAATCATTATCAGTCATAACCACTATCATTATCATTATCATCATCACTATCATCATCAGTAATAACCACTATCATTATCATCATCACTATCATCATCAGTCACCGTAACCACCATCCATTATCATCATCATCATAATTACCATCATTATCAGTAATCATCGTTTCCTTTATCTCTATCATCATCATCATCATCATTATTATCACTATCACCACCATCACCATCAGCCAACCTTATCATTTGATTATTGCAGGGTGTATCTATCCTGTCAGCTGTGGATGACATTCAAATGTTATTAGATGATCACATAGTCAAGGCACAAACCATGAGTGGTTCTCCCTTTATCAAGCCATTTGAAGCCGATATCAAGGTCAGACATTCATCCAGTTATACTATTAACATGTAGTACATGTAACATGTGCCACCTCAACGTCGGCCGGAGCGTCTTCTTTGAGTATTATTTGTTTCTACGTTGTATTGTGTAAAACTCAAACGAAGAATCGTATTCTTAAGACGTTTGGATATAGAAAAACAGTGAGCTTAATATCATTATGTTGTCATCTAATAGGAATGGTGTGAGAAGTTGATCTCAATGCAAGATATCATCGATGCCTGGTTAAAGGTAAATGCTTGAATYTCTCTATCCATCCATTTATCAGTCTCTCTCTTTCCCTGTTTTTTTTGTGTGTGTGTTTGTCTCTTTTTTTGTGATATCGCCTGTCTGTGTGTATCTTTCTGTTTGCTTACGGCCATAATGGTCCATATAGAACTGTCTGTCGCTCTGCTTCCTTGCTTCTCTATCCGTCAATCTTCTTGTCTTTCTTGTCTTTTCGTTTCCCGTAAGTGTCTATCCTGTGTTTTCCATGCCTTTCGTTTTGATAGTCTGTCTGTTTGTTGATCTGTCTGTCTAGCTCGCTTCAATGCCCCCGTTGACTGCGGAAAAGTAACTGAATAATTTCAATTAGCCTGCGAATCTAAACGTTAACTAATTCAATATTTTTTACTTGCTTAGTGTCAAGCTACATGGCTGTATTTAGAGCCCATCTTCAGCTCAGAAGACATCATGGCGCAGATGCCTGAAGAAGGACGCAAGTTTGGCATCGTAGATAGCTACTGGAAGGTATTTTACTTCTTCCCTATGATATTTTTACGACTCGTTTTATTATTTTGATGAGTCTATAATAACCTCGATAAACTTTTCTCACTCTTCAGGATATCATGACCGAGTCTGTCAAAGACACACAGGTATTAGTAGCAACTAGCCAGCAAAACATGCTTGGACGTTTGAATGAATCTAATCAGCTCCTTGAAGAAATCCAGAAAGGATTGAATGCCTACTTGGAGAAAAAACAACTCTTCTTTCCTCGGTAAGTTGATCATTGATGATGGAAACAATTCGCTTTTTCGTCACCGCGCGCGCGCGCAACACTTCATATCCTTATTTGGTTAATTACAAAAGTGCGCGCGCTTTTTTCAAAATCCTTATTTGGTTATTTGTCCCATATATGGAAAAAATATGGCGTCACAATGCTGTGGATATCTACGAAAGTGCGCGCGCTTTTTACAAACTCGTTTAGTTTACTCTTTCATTTTGCATCTTTAGGCTTCGTTGCTCTAAGCAAACGAGACTATAAATGAAAAGAAGTTAAACTTCCTTCGTTTGATAGATGTTTGGAATAAGTCTAACCATGCATCAGTTGATACTGCGAGAGAGAGAGAGAGAGAGAGAGAGCACATGTATTGCAGTAATTTGAGAAAGTCTTTGCAGTTGAATTGCAAAAGTATATGCTGATAGCCCATGAGGGGCTGCAGTGTTCGCCCGTCACTTGAGACCATCAATGACTGTTTTCCTTTCTGTGTCCAGACGTTCAAAGCCAGATTTGCTACTAGCTGTCAGTTTGATGAACAAGACAAAGTCTTCATATAACATTACACACATTACTGCAAATCCAGCTTTAAACCTGAACCTTGATATCTAAGAGTACCCCTAAAATAATTTTCTATATTTCTCTTCATTTTTCAGGTTCTTCTTCTTATCCAATGACGAACTGCTCGAGATCCTGTCAGAGACCAAGGATCCATTACGAGTGCAGCCTCATCTCAAGAAATGCTTTGAAGGTATCGCACGGTTAGAGTTCACCGAAGATCAAGAGGTCGTAGGTATGGTTAGTGCTGAGAATGAGACAGTGCCCTACTCCACTAAGATTATCCCGGCAAAAGCTAAGGTAAGATAATGCAGTGTCTAATTATCTTGATTTAACCAGCCCGGCGACCTCGTGCAATTTCTTCAGTGTCGTAGCGTAACCGTTTCCTGTGCTATTGTCTTTTATATTCTTACCAAGAAAACAGTATCAGTCATAAGCCGACTCTTTAGTGAAGAAAATAGAAAATGCGCGCCTGCTGTGTGCAGCAATAAAGCACGCGTGCATTGGCAGAACACGAGAGAAGTGTTACGAGAAGCACGCCACGTAGCGGAGTGTTTCTCAACACTTCTTAAGTGTTCTTCGAATCAGCGCGTGCTTTATACTGCACATAGCACCACAAGCATTTTTTTTCTTTGATAAAATACAATATCCGTTATTTTGGATATGAATGGCGCGCGTGCTGTGTGCTCTCATAAAGCACGCGCTATCAACAAATCAGAACGCGACATATACCACAGTTAGTAACTGTAGTCGTACTGGAGGTCTTACGAAATTTGTTTTCGTTTACAGGGTATGGTTGAGAAATGGCTGATCCAAGTAGAAGAGGTCATGATCAGCAGTCTAAAAAAAGTAGCCGAAGAGGCTGTGACTGCATATAATACAACACCACGTGGGAAATGGGTGCAGGAATGGCCTGGTCAGGTAGGCATACCATGTGATATTGTCACCATAGCAACTTGCGTCACGTGATAATTCATGATTGGTTTATTTGTGTATAGATCGTGCTGGCAGTGAGTGGTATATATTGGACACTTGAGATGGCAAAAGCTATAATGACTAAAGGAGGACTCAAGGTAATCCACTATCATTCAAAATTAATAGTTCGCAAAGATACTGATCATTATCAACAACAGTGTCAAATATCTTCTCATATTTCTCTAGCTCAATAGACCATTTTCGAGTTGCACATAACCGCTGTGTTCCTTGATCACAGACTCATTTACTCAGGGTTAGCCTCGAATCAGTGTCTAAATATTCACAAATTCCAACGGTAAAGTAAATATTGAACAACTTCAACGATTCGAACACTTTTAACTTTAACTGGAACGCATGAATATTCTTCACAAAATTCAGGCTAACCCTGACCAACAGAGAACTCGAAACTGGAGTATTTTCTCAAACATGAGAACATTAAAACATTGTCATCTTTTTATTGTCTTCACCGCCATACATGCGCCATTAGTCAGAGTGCAGTGCTATCGTCGTCTCCATCGGTTATCGTTATCATAATCATTATCTTGTCCATCATTACCATCAATATCGTCGTCGTCATCATCATCATTATCATTATCATCATTGTTCATAATATAAAACATTTGATTCATGATTCCAACAAATTTGTTTGATATTTTACAGGCATACTTAGAAAAATCGAACTCTCAGATCGATGAGATCGTTGCTTTGGTTCGAGGCAAGCTAGACACGGGAGTCAGGGTTTCTCTTGGTGCACTTACAGTCATCGATGTACACGGTTCGTTTTGACGCTTGTTTTGAATACGACACTCATATGGTTTTCACCCGAGCATCTCTCTTTTCTTTTGGGATTCTCGTATGACGGGCTACAAGTGACCAAGCCCCTCATTCTTTCTTTATCAAACGAGAATCCCAAGTGCCATAGAAAGTAAAAGAAGAAAGATGCTTGAATTCATTTACCTGTTGTGCATTTCTTAATAACACTAACATGGCTTTCCTCATTTTTTCCCTCCGTAGCACGTGACGTCTGTCAAAAAATGTGCGAAGATGGAGTGGACAACCTGAACGACTTCCAGTGGCTTTCTCAGCTTCGTTACTACTTCGAAGAGAAGCAAATCGTCGTGCGCATGATTACCACTGACATTAACTATGGTTACGAGTATCTAGGCAACAGTGGTAGATTGGTTATTACTCCCTTGACTGATCGATGTTACAGGTAAGGACGATACAATAGATTAACTTCTGTGCACAGCCAAATGTCAAAAACAAATCAACCTGCGTCGGCAATCGATAGAAGGGGTTTTATACCTTTTTAGGTTGGGTGGTTAGGGGAGGTGGGTCGCATTGGATGTGACAAAGTGCATTTTTTGTAGGGAGAGGGGTGGGTAACATTTTGTTGCATTCTACTACGAGAGGGCGGGTCAAATTTGTTGCTTTGGGTGCTTTATATTTTTAATGAGGGACGGGTGGGTCAGGGACATATTTGTGACCACATGTCTAACACTATGTATAACAGATATGCTTGTTGTGTCGACAGAACACTAATGGGAGCTATAAAACTGAACCTTGGAGGTGCTCCTGAAGGACCTGCAGGAACAGGCAAGACGGAAACAAGTAAAGACTTGGCTAAAGCAGTAGCAAAACAGGTGAGTCCTCCCTGAGTACTCACCACCATCACAAATACTTACTCTCCCCTCCCCCACCACTACCATTACCAACTATCATGCGTAGAAAAACTATGAAATAATGCGAGTCCTTTAAATAACTGCAGATGTTTCCACCTTGCATCCTATCGTTCTAAGAAGACTAAAATAAAACTTAACTTTAACACTCTTCCCTCAACTATATCCACTACACAGATTCTAACGATAGGGACTTTTGTCTTGTCTTTTTTAAACCAGTGTGTAGTGTTCAACTGCTCTGACGGGTTGGATTTCAAAGCAATGGGCAAGTTCTTCAAAGGACTTGCTCAAGCAGGATCATGGGCTTGCTTTGATGAATTTAACAGAATTGAACTGGAGGTAATGGTCTTGCTCTGTGCTTTATATTATATTGTGTCATTTTTTGTTCTGTGCGTCGTCGCGTCTTGCGAACGTCGGCGCCACAAGCATTATATTAGCTATTGCATGAATGTGTGGTGAAAATCTGATGGCATGGCACGTTACCGTGTCCAAGCATTTCCATTGGCCGAACACTTATTTCCCGCGCGGTTACTGGTTGAAAGGATTTGCACAATTCCGTACCGTGGCCTTACCGTGTGTCGATCAGTTTTAAAGTCATCTGCTCTATAATAGTTCGTTGTGAACATTTGCATGACTGTAAATAATCGAAGCGTAGGAGGAAGTATGAGCTGCTCGAATTCTCCTTTGCCACAAAGTGCGCTACAATTGCCAACCACCTATGCCTTCAAAATTTGTACTGTAAATCTTGAAGCGAGGAAAAATCTTCGCATTTTTTTTCATATTCACACTTTCATATATTTCGACCGCAGCTTAGCAGGTTTTGTCTTCTCGTAGGTATTATCTGTGGTGGCTCAACAGATTGCCACAATTCAAAAGGCCATCGCCGCCCATAAGAAGAGATTCTTATTTGAAGGCACAGAACTTGTGTTGAATCCTACGTGTACCATGTTTATCACCATGAATCCTGGTTATGCTGGACGACAAGAGTTGCCAGATAACCTAAAGGTAAGTGGTCTTACAACATTTATACTCGTCATGCTTGTCACCATTAACATTATTTTTTTAAAGTAAAGCATACCCACCCTAGTGCCACACCTATACTTATAGCTGCTATACCATTAACTATGGTTAACTATTATTGAACTTTGACTGTTCCTATGGTTACCAGGTATTGTTTCGTACCGTTGCTATGATGGTTCCTGACTACGCGCTAATCAGCGAGATATCTTTATACTCCATGGGATTCCTCAATGCAAGAAGGTAAAAATGCTTATCTTTTTAGCACATAATGCTTCACTTGCAATTCACCTACTTAAAGAATAGTGCTATTTTTTCTGAGTTCACACTCGAACCATGTTCAACCAATCACGTTCAAGAATTTACCCCCCTTAGAGTGCACTGTCTTCTCATTTCAAACCACGTGTCATTCCCTTGAGCATAATTTCTTTTTTTACTGGTTGCTCTTTTTGACGTTAGGATATTTCCAACATCTTTTTCAGTTTGGCTCAAAAGATTGTGGCCACCTACCAACTATGTTCAGAACAGCTCTCGTCTCAGTCTCACTATGATTACGGGATGCGCGCGGTCAAATCTGTACTCACGGCGGCTGGTAACCTGAAGCTGCGCTTCCCCGAGGACGATGAAGCTGAGCTCATGTTACGTGCTGTATTGGAAGTCAACCTTGCTAAGTTCTTATCTCAGGTAAGAAGGTGTTAGTCGAGGATTGTGGTACCTAGCAAGAACGTCGTGCTAAAGGTCTCTGTTATCAAAGGTGATGCAGCAGTGTTGAGCTTATCTTTCATCTCTGGCGTCGTGGTTTCTATTTCTCGACCTGGAGTCATATCGACCTGATTCTTTGTTAAATGTATTTTYCCCCTTCCATATTGTTTGTTAGGATGTACCGTTGTTCCAGGGTATCATATCTGATCTGTTCCCCGGCACTGCTTGGCCCAACCCTGATTATGGTGTGTTGTTGGAAGCTCTACGAGAAAACTGTTCACGGCGCAACTTGCAGGCCACTGATTGGTTTATTAAGAAAATCATTCAGGTAAAGTAATGAGTAGGGAAAATGAAGGGAAATATGGATCTTTCTATCTCTATCTGGTCGTCTATCCGTTAGCGGGCTCTCTCATTGGTTTATTTGTCTATTTGTCTATGTATCAATCGATCTGTCTGTCCATCTGTACATCTGAGACTGACAGAGCAAACGTCTGCCCATCGGTTTGTCTGTCTGTTTGTTTATATATCCATCAGTCTGTCTGTCTGTCCACATAACTAACCCACTGATCTAATAACATAGATCTGCCTATTTGTTGGTCTGACTATCTGTCCATGAGTCTGTCTGTCCTGTGAATGACTGACTGACTGATGACCGAACGTCTGTCTGTCTATCTGTCCGTACGTGATCAATCTGTTGTCTGTTTGTTCATCTTTCATTCAGTTCACTGGGGTGTCATCACTCACGTCTCTCTATCCTTACTCAACAGGTGTACGAGATGATGATAGTTCGTCATGGATTCATGATTGTTGGTGATCCACTGGGCGGTAAAACAATGGCCTTCAAGGTGTGTCATCTAAAGACTAAGATTCAAAGTCTGCAGTCATCCAACTAGTTTAACTTGTTTATCATTGTCTGATTTACTAGGTACTTGGAGATTCCATGACTGATCTCAACGAAGCAGGATATCCATTCCAAAAGGTATGACATGTCTCAATAAGTGATAGTAAAGATATTGCCATAGAAGGCTTTTGTAGATGATGCGGGGAAAGGGAAAGGGTGAGCTAACAATAGGAAAGGACTTGTGAGCCAAGTGGAAACGTGTGGGTGAAAACCATAAAGATGCCAAAGATGGGCGTAAAAATGTAGTTGTTGAACGAATTGCGGTCGCTCAAAAAAGGATGGACAGCACCAAAACATAATTGAATGAGAAAAATCATTGCCTTCAAGATATACAGTAGTAGAACATTAGGAGTGGTCGGATACGAAAGTTGGTCGGTTAACAGAGGTTATCACTTGAAAAAAAGTATGATTGACGGGCGTATGCCTAACGAGTATTGCTTTTTCCAAAGGTTATTTACAAGATCATCAATCCCAAATCCCAGACAATGGGTCAGCTATACGGTAGCTTTGATCCCATATCACACGAGTGGTCAGACGGTGTCCTGGCTAACTCCTTCCGTGACCAAGCGTCGTCAACCTCAGATGATCGTAAATGGTTGATATTCGATGGTCCAGTCGATGCTGTGTGGATTGAGAATATGAACACTGTACTCGATGACAATAAAAAGGTGAGTGGAATTGGATGGCAAGACGAGGGTCCCTGATACTGGATGGGGGGGGGGGGGGGGGGGGGGGGGGGGGGGGGGGGGGGGGGGGGGGAAGCGACCAGTGTCTAAAGGTAAGAGGAATGGGGTTGGGTGGAAAGACGTGAGTCCCTGAAGTTGGAGAGGAGGGATAAGGGAGTGAGCGTTGCTTGACCTAAGCTAGGGCATGGCTAAAGCACAGATTGATTTGGAATTTTAAAGCTCTGTATGGCTTTTATTTTTTGATGTCTGTCTTTCGTTCTACTTAGGGGGCTTTCTTATCAATTTAGTGTTACAAAATGTCCATCAATCCTACTGATTGACTGTCTGGTTTTTTGATATTGTATACTGACTGACAAGAGACCAATGAATGTTGTTTTCCTTCTTCAAGCTTTGTCTGATGAGCGGCGAGATCATCCAGATGAGTGGTAAACAAAGTCTAATGTTTGAGCCAGCTGATCTGGAACAAGCTTCGCCTGCTACTGTCAGCAGGTGTGGTATGATCTACATGGAACCTAACCAGGTATGTACAGCTATGTTGCTTCGGTTGCGGTATATATTAAGAGTGGATTATGATATTTGGTGGTGGTGTTGTTAATGGTTGTCATGTTGCTGATGATGACGATGTTGATGATGTAGTGATGGTGATGGTGATGGTGAAGTGATGGTGATGATGATGGTGATGGTGATGGTGATGGTAATAATGATGGTGATCATGAGGTTGATGGTGAGCATGATGGTGGTATTGTTGCTGGTCATGGTGGTGATGGCTGTGGTAAAGATAGTGATGATGATAATGGCAATAATGGATGTCAATGGTAATGATGGTGATGTTGGTAGTGATGGTTATGTTGCTGATGACGACGATATTGAGGATGTGGTGATGGTGGTGGTGATCATGATGGTGATGGTGGTATTGTTGCTGGTCATGGTGGTGATGGCTGTGGAAAAGATGATGATGATGATGGCAATGATGGTGTTGACAATGGTAACACTTGATGTTATCAGTGGTGGTAATGGTACTGTTAATTGGTGATGATGATGATGATAATGATGATAATGATGAGGATGATGACGATGACAGTATTAGTTAATGTTGGCTGTTTCATTGTAGATGGGCTGGAGGCCACTAATGGAGTCCTACATGAATACTCTTCCAAAAGTGCTAACTAAAGAACAAAGAGAAACCATCCGTTTATTGTTTGACTGGCTCGTACAGCCTTGTCTAGGTAACAATATACCAACGACGATTGAATGTCTTACTAAGGCTACAATCAGCGAATTGAACAAATAACAGGAAGCCCAATTCCATTAGGAAGCAGCTCTTCTCCTCCATCCCCCCTCCCCCTAGCAATGTTGAATACACGAATGCTCATGTGCCGCCACCAATCGTGAGGTGAAACAACATTCATAATGGGGAGGAAGGTTTATAGTATCTGGTGATAAACTTTAGACCAAAATTTTACAAATATTTCAACGAGATTAGGAATCAAGCATAGGGGCTCATTATTTTATTGGCCGGTTGTAGCTATTCTGTAAGTACATTACTATACTGACTGTTGTTAGCTCTCTCCTGTGCTTCGAGGGTTTTCCCCCGGGTTCTCCGGTTTTCCTGCCTCCTCATAAAGGCTCTCTAGCTACCTGTTTACCAGATCATTAACGAATTTCCTATCCCACGTTTTTTCACCTGCGTTTAATTTCCATATATATCTTCGTTCTTTAAGATTTCATTCGTCACGAGTGTAAGTTCTTCATCTTGTCGTCAGACATGCATCTTGTCTTGTCTTTTCAACGCCTGTACTCTTGTCTGATGGACGAGATAGAAGCCCAGGATCATGCTGAAGGTGCTGACCGCATGTCTGCATCTCAGGTATGGATGGATTAACCTTCGATTTCTGTTTAATTAATCGACTTCTTTACCTTGGGTGTACTTAACGGTTTCCCATTACAGACCACATATCATTCTCTTGTGAATAAGATTCTGTTTTTGAGTTGTATCCATATTCATGTGTCCTCTCATGCACAACCATTAAACAAAGAAATGATACTCTAGGGAATGAAACTTGGTTTGAAATAGGAAAACATGATTACACTCAAACTGGCTAAAAAGGCATACTCGGCCTTACTCCACCACAAGTATTTCCAGTATTCCAAGCTTAGTTCTGCTTTACATGACGTTTTCTCTACAAGTAGGGGATGTGATGTGTTTTTTTCGTATTTGTTTTGCTATATTTCTGCGTCTTATCTCTCAGATCACCAACTGGCTCCAGGGTCTGTTTCTATTCTCCATGGTCTGGTCTATTGGTGGGACACTTAATGGTGATAGCCGTAAGAAATTTGACGCATTCTTCAGGCTCTTGATCAGTGGAACAGATAAGGACAATCAAAAACCAAAAGATATTAAGATGAGCAAGGTAAGGAGATGCGTCGTCGATACATCAAGGATACTCTCTTTTCCCCTCCCTATCTCCCTTCTTCCCTCCTTCCCTTTCGTCCTCCCTACCGTCCCTACCTTCCTACCTTCCTTCCTTCCTTCTTTCCTTCTTTTTTCCTTCCTTCCTTCCTTCCTTCCTTCCTTCCTTCCTTCCTTCCTTCCTTCCTTCCTTCCTTCCTTCCTTCCTTCCTTCCTCCCTCCCTCCCTCCCTCCCTCCCTCCCTCTCCATTCCTCGCATATATGTTCTTTATTTCATTTATTTGCTTCTTTTCGTAGCAAAACGTATTCCCAGATCGTGGTACGGTGTATGACTACTACTTTGTAAAGCAAGCAAACGGTTCATGGAACAATTGGATCGAGCTGACTGACAAGGGCAAAACTCCTATACCAAAAGACGCAAAGGTAATCATTAGGATCTTACTTTATTCAGAACAGCAAAGCTTACCCAGGACGATGGCGTCCTTACCACGCTATATATATTTTACTAGCAAGGGCAAGAAGGAAGCAAGGGAATTTATTATCAACCCCTAAAACAATCTCTGGTCGATCTAAGTATAAACGCGTGGCTAATAGCATTCGAACCGATGTTTGAGAAGGGAAGACACCGGAGATACCGGATAAAATCCCTGAATCAAGGGAGCTTACCAACGAACTCTACTCACATTAGATGCCGTGTCCAGGTATCAAACCCTAGACCCAGAGGTTAGAGTCGAGTGTGCTAACCCAACACCACTTTTGGGTAACAAATGATTATCACTGCTTACATTATTTTCAGGTGAGCGAGATAACAGTGGAGACAGACGATACCGCGCGTCAGATATTCTTCTTATCCACCTTCATACCCCATGAGATACCATTACTATTCGTTGGTCCTACTGGTACCGGCAAGTCTGCTATTACCAACAGTTATCTCGTTAAACTACCGAAAGAACAGTAAGTCAGACTTATTAAACAATAGATAGGACACTTGCATCATGGCGTCATTTACTAACACTACCAGAATCCTTTGAAAACTTTGTATTGTTCACTTAAGCAATTGTCTTGCTATTCTCACGAGGAAAATACAACTTTAATAAGAATGAAAATTTACCAAGCATTTTGGTAGTGGTAGTAAGATGACACCCTCATTTTCAAGGTTACTTGCCTATAGAATGTCATGGAAATGCCTAGATTGAGGTCCATTTTTCAAACCTTCTTTCTAAGATGATTCTTGTAGCCAGGCATGGTACAGTACATGACACGAGGGTTTAACAGTGTTTTGCTTATGTTAATCACTAGGTACTTACCAATCAATATCAACTTCTCTGCTCGCACCACTGCTGGAATGACACAGGACATCATCATGGGAAAACTAGACAGGTATCTTATTCTATTTCTTTTCCTTATTACTCTTTCTCATCTTTTTCACATGTAACATTTAACATTTAACATTTTTATTGATTCACACACACACAGAAGTATTCACAGGGGTAATATTAATGAATAATGAAAAGAAAGTTGAAACTAAATTAATCACAAGAGAAAGAGCTAATTTATGGTGTGTGTGGTTGTCATGTGACATAAGCGTGAATCCTTCACTTTTTCCAAGGACACTGACGGTGCTGTAATGCGGTGTTTATTTCATGCGCGTCTTCAGAGGAGGTTAGGGACGCCGTTTTCGAAGCGGCTGGTCGCAAATTTTTGAATCCTTATAATGTAGCAAGCATGCTCATTACTATTAGAATAATACGTTTTGGTAATTCCTGAACCAATTAATCATGAAACTGTTCTTAAAAATACCAGTTGACCTGGGCAAAACAAATTGACAATATACCTGACTTGGTTCCCATGTGTTTTTCCTTATCTGTTACAGGCGTCGTAAAGGAGTATACGGACCCCCACCTGGAAAGAAATGCGTTGTGTTCGTCGATGACCTTAACATGCCTGCTAAAGAAAAATATGGTGCACAACCACCTATTGAACTACTAAGACAGGTGAAACATTGTGATCTACAGCTCCCAGCGTGTTTATATCACAGTACAAACATGCTAGTGGATTTTATATGCAAGCGCATATTCCTTCAATAAAGCACAAAGGAAGGGAAGCACGAAAGACGTTAAGTTCTTGAGTGCTTTCGGCGCTTCCTGCGTGCTGTTTTGATAAAGGAAGCACGGAACAAGAGCTGTTTTATTTATTTTACATATTATATAATATTATATACCGTCGTACATTTCAATGTTGTTTTCTTACACTTCTTTGCAAGGTTGGCTGCGTACGAGGTTAGGTCACCACCGTGCTCTATTCGCTAATAAAACAAAGTTCTCGGCCAATCATAGCGCGCGTACTATCTAAGCTATATAATATAGGTTGTTATCATATCGTTGTAGTGGATTGACCATCTTCATTGGTACGATCTGAAGGACACCTCAAAGATTGAACTCCTGGATTTGGTAAGTCATCGTCTATTGAAAAGAAGTTGAAATAATCGAGATAAGGATGTGACATTACCCTCCCACTACCCTCTCGACCCTTCTGACCTCTCACCTGATTTATCATCGGTTGATAATTCTTTTGTTTTATCTTAGTTGTTTGTATCAGCCATGGGGCCGCCAGGGGGAGGACGTAACGATATCTGTGGTCGCTTTGTACGCCACACCAACATCATCTGTATCGATTCGTTTGATGACAACACCATGAACAAGATCTTCACCTTTATTGCTGACTGGCATTTCGCTAAGGGGTTCGAAGCCACGTTCCAACGACTGGGAAAGGTAAACACAACCGCGCCATTGCGCAATACATATTACTGATTTACTTCTTTTGATACCAGCGCGCTCTCAAATATGAATGCTTTGTTAGGTCTTTTCCTTGATTCAAGGGTTTTTCTCCGGGTTCCACGATTTTCCTCCCTTCCTAGAGGTTGTTTAAGGGTATCGATAAATATATTTTTGATATATCCTAGATTGTGGTTCTAGCTACTATGCAAGTGTACAAGTCAGCCGTGGAGAAGTTCCTCCCCACACCCAGTAAGTCTCACTATGTCTTCAACCTTCGAGACTTCGCCAGGGTCATATTCGGCGTCCTATTGGTTCCCTCCACTCACATGAACGAAGGCGACAAGCTGATTCGTCTTTGGATCCACGAAGTTTACCGAGTGTTTTACGACAGGCTGATCGACGACAACGACAGACAGTTGTTCTTCGAACTGATCAAAGAAACCACTAAGCAACAATTTAAACTCGACATGGACCGCCTTGTTGGGCACCTTGTGCCAACGGGACAAAAACTAAAGGACGATCATATTAGGAATCTGTTTTTTGGAGATTACATGGTGCCTGATAGTGCCGATAAGATATACGATGAAGTGACAGACTTCAAGCTTCTTACCACACAAATTGAATCGTAAGTAAAAAAAAAAAAATTTCTCCAGCTAAGTTAATCTGGGATCGTTGGAACGGTTTTCGTAGAGGTGTGAAACGATTGAGCGGTTTTCGTATGAATGACGGACACAGCATACGACATACCTTCACATTGAAATGGCTTATTATTATCTTCCAGTATTACCGCGTAGCTGCGGTTACTGTAACAGATACGGCACGGCTAAAGTACGGCTACAAATTTGTTAAAGAGCGCTTTTCGTCTAAGTGGGAAACGATATGACAAAATCGTAGCCGTTACCTATTTGATTGGATGAAGTCAGGAAATCACAAAATTCGACTATCGATTTCAGATACCTCGATGAATTCAACCAGATGAGTAAGACACCGATGTCCTTGGTCATGTTTAAATTTGCCATCGAACATATCTCACGAGTAAGCAGGGTTTTAAAGCAGGATAATGGTCACGCCCTACTTGTAGGTAAGTCACAGTTGTTGTGTCAATGAGGTCACTGACGATCAATGCCTGACGGATTTTGTCGTACTATTCGTATAGGGATTGGTGGCAGCGGCCGTCAGAGCGCTACTCGTCTAGCTACCTTCATGGCCGATTACGACTTGTTCCAGATTGAAATTTCTAAGAACTATACTAAAAACGAATGGCGAGAAGATATCAAGAAGGTTGGTTCTGAAAAACAATAAATGCGTCTCCTGTGTAGCTCAGAGCACAACAGCAGACTTTTGYTGGATAAGCAGGCTCCTTGATTTTAAATATGTTATGGACGTTCACGGGCACTGTTTGTGCGCATCTGTTTTACATTTATGGCGTGACAGGGCCCCGGTTTAGTTTTTATTTGCTCATTAAACTTTTATGACGATCCCTTGTTTATATTCTATTTATTCTTATTCTTTTTAGTAAGAAAGCTAGTCGTAAAATACAACGTTTCGCTGTCATCTCGACAACACATATTATACTATGTTGTCGAGATGACAGCGAAACATTGTCTTTTACAGCTAGTTTTCTTGCTAAATTGTATACCTAAAAGTACCTTTATCATATTCTTATTCTGTTTCTCTATTCATTTTTCTCCTCAAGATGCTAATCAAAGCTGGCGTTGATGGCAAACCTACAGTGTTCTTGTTCAGCGATAATCAGATCAAAGAAGAATCATTTGTGGAGGACATCAACATGATACTTAACACAGGAGATGTGCCCAATATATTCGCTGCTGATGAGAAGGCTGATGTCATTGATAAAATGCAAACTGTTGCACGAGTTGAGGTAAGACATGAGGCTAGATATAGGTTACGCTAGATTGCGCACTGCTTGAACCAGTTCAAGTCCGCCATGCAATCTGTTGCACGAGTTGAGGTAAGACAGGAAGTTAGATGTAGATTACGCTAGATTGCGCACTGATTGATCTAGTTCAAGTCCGCCATGCAATCTGTTGCGCGCGTCTTGTCTCTAAGTCCTGCGCTCCTGTCCTAGTCCTTGTTGGTACCCGTTTCTAACATAAACAACTCATTCCTTATACTTCAGGGCAAGAAGATCGACGCCACACCATTAGCCATGTACAATTTCTTCATCGAACGTGTACGAGGTAACCTCCACGTAGTCCTCGCAATGAGTCCTATTGGGGACGCATTCAGAAACAGGCTACGTATGTTCCCGTCTCTTATCAACTGCTGTACCATCGATTGGTTCCAGGTAAGTACCCCAGTGGTTCTTAGGGACTTTGAGATTGGCAAAATCTACGACGGCTACGGCAACCGGAAGTGTAAATATTTTCTCTTTGGGGTTCTGTTCATTGGAGATTTCATTCAAAACATTGTTAGTAAAGTCAACTCATTCAAAGGGAAGACAGATTTTAAACGGACTCGAAATCCAAAGTGAAGTAGTTTACACTTCCGGTTGACGTCGCCGTCGCAGATTTTGCGAAATTTTAAAGTCCCTCTTATAATCTCTATGACCGGACTTTGAAGAGGACTTCCGCTCAGGTTGTCGAAACACCAGTCACCACCAACAACCGTCTTTTTCAAGACTACACTCACCCGGATGATCACACTTAACAACAAGCTTCAACATCTGGGTTCAAACCATTTACTCTTAATCTATATTCTATGATACAAGTAGGTTTCAGATGTGGCTAATTTTGTGTGTTTCGGTATCATGTTCTTAGGCTTGGCCAGAAGATGCCCTGGAGATGGTGGCCAATAAGTTCTTAGAGGAAGTCGATATGGCCATCGAAGTTAGGAAAGAGTGCGTCTTTATGTGTAAATATTTTCATGAAAGCGTGAGGAAATTGTCAGAAAGGTAAGTATTTGACTGGTAAGGTTGATGTTTCTGCTCAACAAGTAATATCATAGTAAGTTTTCGTTGATATGTTGATAGTAAATGATGATGCTGTTGATGATGGTGATGGTGGTGGTGGTGGTGGTGGTGTTGGTGACGGTGGTGATGATTATGATGATGATGGGGGTGATGATGATGATGATGGGGGTGATGATGATGATGGGGGTGATGATGATGGTTGGTGGTGAAGTTGATAGATCATAATAAAATATGAGGTGAGGATTGATGATCACCAAAATCAAGATAGTATTGAAATGTTGATGTAATGGAGATGACGATGACAATAATTGATGTAGATGACGATCTCGTTTATGAAGGGTGATGAGGATGTGCTTGGATGATTATGATGATGACGTGCATTGATCATGTTGATGATGATGTTGATGAAGATTTAGTATGATGAAAATGTGCCTGGATAACGATGATGATGATGATAGTCATTAGATCTTGAGGTTAATATAAATTGATGATGATGATATTGATAACGATGAGGATGAGGATGGTGATAATAATGATCACTGATGTGCTAAAGTAGACCTTTCTAAGAATATTCTTACCACAACGAACATCACACGCATTATCATCTTTTCCCGCAGCTATTACTCGACTCTCCGCCGTCGTAACTACGTAACACCCACATCCTACCTTGAGCTCATCATGACATTCAAGACTCTACTTCACATCAAACGAGAAGAAATAATGGCTTTGAAGAACCGTTACCTAACTGGTCTAGAGAAGCTAGAGTTCGCTGCTTCGCAGGTCTCGATCATGCAGAAAGAACTGAGTGATCTGCAGCCACAGTTGGTGCAGACGTCTGCGGACACGGAGAAACTGATGATTAAGATTGAGCAGGATACTGTGGAAGTTGAAGCCAAGAAAGAGGTAAGATTTGATTTTGTCTTGCTTTTGTAACAGGCGAAGGCCAAAACCTTAGTTTTTAAAAAATATTTTTTCTTTGTTATTGTTATTTCATTTTTCCTACCTGACGCATTTTCACAGGTTGTTGCAGCCGATGAAGCTGTTGCTAACGAAGCAGCAGGCGTTGCTAAGGGTATCAAAGATGAATGTGAAAGTGATCTAGCGGAGGCCTTACCTGCACTGGAAGCTGCTCTCAAGGCTTTGGATACCCTCAAACCAAGTGATATCTCTATGGTTAAAAGTATGAAGGTATGTTACATTACCATATCCCTGTATTCTGATTGGATGACTAGGGATCACGTTTTATATGACTGGCCCAATGTTGTTATCGCTGCGTGACGAGCATGTCGTTGCGTGACGAGCAGTTTTCTTGACTCTAAAACTCCAGTGTATGCGGGCTTAGCCTCGAATCTAGAAGTTACTTGTTTTGTTATTCTAATTTCTGCTTTTGTTTAACGAACTCAGAAGTAAGGCATACACTGGAGTTTTAATAAGAGTCGTCAATGGATAGATATAGTAGGCATTTATGTTGTAGTCGTCATGTTCTAAATTCATGAGTTTTTGGAATTCTGGAGGAAGACGTATCAATAATGTCAAAAATGCCTCTAAATTCAAAGCTCGCGAGGGAGCGTACAATTACCTGCGCGCACATGTTCCATCTATTTCTTTTTCATAGCATGCATGCCAGCCAATCGAGGGGCGCGTCATATCTCAGCTATATTATAATAAAACTGATTCTTGCGCCTTATAATCTTCCCGATTCTTGTCCCGTCAGAACCCCCCTGGGGCTGTCAAACTAGTCATGGAAGCCGTGTGCATCATGAAGAACTTAAAACCCGAGCGTAAGCCCGACCCGTCGGGTTCTGGTCGGATGGTTGAGGATTTCTGGGGCCCTTCACAGAAAATGCTGGGTGACCTGAAATTCTTAGAATCACTCAAGGTCTACGACAAGGATAACATAGCTCCTGCCGTCATGAAAAAGATCAGAGATAAGTAAGTCAGCTTGTCTTGGGAACCCTGTGTCCACAATGGCACAGGTTTTGGTATTACACACCTTAAAACCTTCACATTTATCGATACCCTGAAACAGCGTCTGGGCACGGCTAACTCGTAGATCAAACCCTAAATACCCTCTGGGCTGGACAAAAAACCGGACAAATCGGAAAAAAATTCTTGAATCAGGGAAGAGATCTAACAAAGTTTAACTACATTTACATGCCTAGTCTGGGAATCCAACCCGAGATCCCAGATGTGAGAGGCGAGTGCACTACTGCTACACAACCCTTGATTGCCAAGTTTATAATTCGTGGAGTTTAATCATTTCCTTGGTGATTTTCCCTAGGTATGTGACCAACCCAGATTTCAATCCTGATGTTATCAGAAGTGTATCTTCAGCTTGTGAAGGTCTGTGTAAGTGGATTCTGGCTATGGAGGTCTATGACAGAGTGGCTAAGGTAGGGAACGGTTACTTCTTGTTTGCATTGCTTGGGTTTCTGCGCGCGTCATTCGTGAAACCTTTACTGCGCTTGCTTGAAATACTGGCTAGAAATACTAGAGATCTAATCAACTAACAATCAGAAAAAAGATTGACAGTGTAACTTGTCGCAATCCTAACAGGTTGTTGGCCCAAAGAAAGAAAAGCTGGCAGCAGCCGAGGCTGAACTGGCCATCCAGATGGAAAAACTAAACCTTAAGAGGGCTCAGCTTAAAGAGGTGAGTTAATAATTGCAAAAACAACAGATGTACCCCACGTCTTCGACGCCTCTACTCCATATTTCACAATTCCTTCAAGACTATGGACGTCTTACCAAGGTCACATTTTTTCTTGGTTTTTGCATTATACAGGTTATGGACAAACTGCAGGCGTTGAATGACGAGTTCGAAAGAATGACGAACAAGAAAAAGGAGTTGGAACACAACATTGATTTGTGCGAGAAGAAATTAGACCGAGCAGAAAAACTGATCGGAGGGTTGGGCGGAGAGAAAGAAAGATGGACAGAGACAGCTAAAATGCTGGAAGACAAGTATGTAAACAATGGGTCTGAGGGTGATTTTGAGGGTGATTTTGACGATGTACCGTGCCGTGCCACGGATCCGTCTCAGTATTCTTTCTTCCCAATTTCTTGATTTCCGTGATATTGTGCCGCTAACATGAACGTCAAAGGGGCGTAGCAAGAATTTGTCCCCCCATTCCTCGCCCCATCGTGGCTAGTCCCCTGCATCATCTTCCATATACAGTCAACTCTCGCCTTGCGGATGCCCTGATATTACGGACACTATGCTATTACGGACAGGAGAAAAATCCCCGACAAAAATATTGAGAAAGAAATGACCGTAATGAATTCTCGCTATTACGGACGCTCGCTATTACAGACATGCATGAAGTGACGGTCCCGAGGGTGTCCGCTGTAACGAGAGTTGACTGTAATTGGTTTCTTATTTTGTTTTTGTTTTTTTATCAAGGTACCTCAAAGTCACTGGTGATGTACTATTATCCTCTGGCGTGGTAGCTTATCTTGGCCCTTTTACCGTAGACTTCAGAAACGTAAGAATCAGTTGCTAAGTACGCCAATATAATCCTCCGTGTTATTCCAGTTTCTGCTTCACACTGGAATGTTATATGAAGCTTTTCAAGTTGTCAACTCAGAAGAAGCGTTTTAGCCTCTTTAATGAGCGCATCGTCATATCTCTCATGGGGAGTATATCCCCATGCTGTTCGTGTTCGTGACGKGAGGTTTTTAGTCATACAAAAACTGTTTTAATTTACGGTGTCTTAACTATTGCAGAATTGTATCGAGGGATGGGTGGCACAGTGTAATGACCGAAAGATCCCATGCTCCACGTCTTTCTCACTCAATGGAACCCTCGGAGATCCCGTCAAGATTCGTGCGTGGAACATCGCGGGTTTACCTGTTGACTCCTTTTCTGTTGATAACGGGATCGTGGTGGATAATGCACGTCGATGGCCGCTCATGATCGATCCTCAAGGTAAACTCATCACTTTTTCATCAAGTTTCTTACATGACCAACTACCTCCACTTCCCATATTGAGACTGTACATTTCGTTATACTTACGCGTTAAGTTTTAGCTGCCATTTATAGTCGTAACCAAGATGTACGGTCGATTTACACGAGGGAATTCGTGTTGTAAGCTTGTTGCGCGCGACAGTTGTGAGGAAAAATCGTACCGTGTAAATCGGCCCTTTAAATGTCCCGTAGATTGTTGTTTTTTTTTTGCCTTTTACCCCGTCCTGTCTCACTAATGAGATAGATTGGAGGAAGAGTGTTGTGAAGCGGGTTCAAGAATTCTTCTCATGAGTTAAAGGGTGGTTCATATTTAGCACGAGGGAATTCGTGTCGTCAGCATGCTGCGCGCGACAATTGTGTGGAAAATACCGTACCCTGTAAATAGGCCTTTTATAACATATTCCCTAAATTTTTCTTGTCTTTTACCCCTTCCTGTCCCAGTAGTGAGTTAGATCGGGGAAAGGGTGTTGTGAAACGGGGTCAAAAATTCTTCTCGTGAGGTAAAGCGTGTTGCATATTTAGCTGAACCTTATTAATGTTTTGTTTTTTAGGACAAGCAAATAAATGGGTCAAAAACATGGAGAAAGATTCAAAGTTATCTGTCATAAAACTATCTGATGCCAACTACGTACGAACACTAGAGAACAGTATTACGGTACGTACACACCAAGAGTTATCTGTAATAATAAACCTTTCCCCAACTCGCTTCAGTGACTACAAATAATGGTTCCAAGTCGAGGACTTACATAAAATACAGTAAATGTATGAACACATCAAGTCTGATCTCGAATTGTTTCGTGATTATTCAAGGGAGTTCGAGAAAGTCTTTTTTTTTTTTTGCATGTTCGACCTGCGTCAGTCGATTGTGCGGAAGGTAATTGTTCGAGTCTCGCCCAGACCAACGCTCAGGGTCTTAAAATAACTGAGGAGAACGTGCTGCCATTGTGATTACATGCATCTGCAAATGTTTACACCTTTACGTGGCTCGAATGATAACGTTAATAATTGTCCTGTCTCTAATCAACTAGAGACGTTAACAGAGGACCACGAGTTTATCAGTTGAATTACTGTCAAGTGTTATCCTCAATCAACAAATGAGTATTGGTATGCAATATCTTGATGTCTTGATATTTTTTTTAGTTTGGCACGCCTGTCTTGCTGGAGAACGTTGGTGAAGAACTCGACCCGATCCTTGAACCTTTGTTATTGAAGCAGACATTCAAACAAGGTGGTGTAGAGGTMAGTCTGGGTTGTTAAGATTTTCTAAATTTCTTTATACCTTCCTTTATCTTTAATCATATTCCTTTCATTTTTAGTTTACTGATTTCTTCTTGCTACAGCCAATTTCTACATCTTACCACTATCCCATTTCATTTTCCCATTATTCCCTGTTTTCTCACTTTATTCGTTTTCATTCTCATTTACCCCATTTCCCACGATTCACCCTCACCTCCCTCTTCTTACGYGCCTCCCATCTTATTTTCCATTTTCCAAATGTTCTCTCATTTGTTTACCCTTCCAACTCTTTCCTCTCTCTTTCCAAGTATTCCACTTCCTTGGAAAACATTATCAAGTACTTCCATTTATTTCCCATTTCTCGCCATCCCTGTTTTTTCTCCCTCGTTCCTTGTATCCCGTCTAAGTATCCCATGCAATCTTAGTCACCATTTTTTCCCTCCACAGTACTTAAAGCTCGGTGAAAACAGTATCGAATACTCCAAGGAGTTCCGTTTCTACATCACTACTCGACTACGTAACCCTCACTATCTGCCCGAGATTTCTGTCAAGGTGACCCTACTGAACTTCATGATCACTCCCCTCGGTCTGGAGGATCAGCTACTGGGAATCGTGGCAGCCAAGGAGAAACCAGAACTAGAGGAGAAGAAGAACGAGTTGATCATCGAGGGAGCCAAGAATAAGAAACAGGTATGTATATATATAGCATTAGGAAATAACTAATATAATAAATAAAGAATTTTAATTATTAATTATGCTCTTTTGTAAATTTGATAAAAGTTGATACGGTCATATGGGGCGTGGCAAAACGAGCCCCCCCCCCCCCCCCCCCCCCATACTCCTACCCCTGCTACGGGCCTGACTATGGAACTATGGCAGGGTTATATGACGATTATTAATAACGTTATTAATATTATCATGCCTTATTACCGAATCTTCAAGTTTGTGGCAGGTTCGTGTAAATTGTGCAAGGAAATAAATTCCGGAGGTTAGAAAGGGAAGTTTTCATAATTAAACCAACCAAGTTTGGTATAAACTAAAGCGTTTACTCTACTTTCAGCTCAAAGAAATTGAAGACAAGATTCTTGCAGTCCTTTCATCATCTGAGGTACGAACTAAGAATGTGATCATATCTAGTCATTTCATCCCATCCCATCCATGTTTTTCATCCACTTCATCACGTTCTTTCCCACCCATCTATTTTATTCTATTTATCTCATCCTATTTTAACTTATTCATAACAAACTACGTCATTAATCCGTCTTATCCATCCCATTTATCATATCCTATCCCATCCCACCCATCTATCTCATCCAACCTTTATATTATATATCTTCTCCTATCCCATTCATCCCATACTACGCCATGTGTCAACCTTACCCATCCCATGCCATCCATCTATCTCTTCCCTCATCCCACCTTAACCTGTTTAACCTGTTTAACCTACTATGATTTCAGGGCAACATCCTAGAAGACGAAACTGCTATCAAAATTCTTTCATCTTCTAAAGTACTTTCCGAAGAAATCTCTGCAAAACAGGTAACTAAAGCACCTTATCTCCCTTCTGAACCATTTACCACTCCATCTATATAACTGTATGTATTTACATTCAACAGGAAATCGCCACAGCTACGGAGCAAGAGATTGATGAGACTCGTAACGGATACAAACCAGTGGCCACCCACTCTTCCGTGCTGTTCTTCTGTATCTCAGATCTGGCGAACATTGAACCTATGTACCAGTACTCTTTGACCTGGTTTATTAATTTATACTTGCAGGTATGTATAACCAATTATTAAATATCTAAGATACAACGCGCGCGCTGATTGGCTGGCTACCGTGTTTATATCAGATGACAGAGACATGCTCGCGCAAAATTGTTTAAAAGTATTTTATCAAAGCAATATGAAACGGCTGCTTGTCTCTGTACTGTGATATAAACACGCTGGGAGCCGTATAAGCACGAGAGAAGCAAGAAAAACACCCAACTACGCCTTGTGTTCCTAAGCTTGCTTCTCTCGTGCTCTACAGCTCCCAGCGTGTTTATATTCACAGCACAAAGACATGCGCGCGCGTTTAATATTCCTTAATCACAACGCGTGAGATTACTACTCATCCGCTGAGAATGGTCGGACAGGATACACGTACGTACTGTGGAATGTTCACATTCACGCGAGATTTGCTGCAGTCACGCTTGTCAAGGTTTATAAAGTCAGGATTGCGTGGCTGTAGTCATCGTGATCAAGACTCTAGTTGAGTCGAGATGGCTCAATACATTGCTTTCAAGAATAAGTTTTACCAGTACTGATCCTCACACCAGTACTGATGAATTTACATAATTTCAATTGTGTTATATCTAGCGTTTTCATCTCGCGCACTGTGATAAGTTTGAAGGATCTTTTCAATTCTGTAGCGTGACCGTGCCTAATTCATGCAAAATCTACTTTAACTTTTAACTGATCTTACTTAATTACCATTCTTTTTCAGTCTATTAATAACAGCAGACGGTCACCTGAACTAGAGGAACGTATCGAATCTCTCAACGATCATTTTACTCAGAGTATCTACTCCAACGTCTGCCGTTCTCTGTTCGAAAAAGATAAATTACTCTTTTCGTTCCTTCTCACTATTGGTATTCTTAAGAGCAGGTGAGTAATGTTTTTTTTAGGTGTTCGGTCAAAACTGATGCAGGTTTTACTTGGTACGCGCAGGCACTTGATTTCCATCTAAATTATCTCATATATTTTCTAAATTTGCGTAAAAGTTTATTCATATAAAATAAGGTTTTCTTGCCTGACACGTGTTAAAATGAGGTTTATTAGTCTGACTGCATGATGTCCAGGATCGTATTACTTTATCGCATCACCTTAACACTGTTTCTGTTTTCATTGCTGTGCGCCGATAAGACAACAGTCGCGATAGGAAAATCGGGCAGTAGGCTGTTGTCAATCAAATAACTTGTTTGAGACGCTTAAATAACTCGAATTGGTGAAATGAATGACTTTGAAACAAAAAATCGTACTGAGTAGACTTCGTTTACTAATGAGGCCTTTCTGACCTCGCTTACATTCAATTGTCCCTAGTCCCAACGGCATTTGGCGGCCATTTATGGGAAAGGTCTATACTCTGATTGACGGCAGTGTATTGCCTTGTAACAACTGTTGTCTCGATTACCGCGCACCAATGAAAACAGTGGTAAAGTGATATTGGTAGATACCTTTCTTAAAATCATGGCACAATTCACAAGTTGCTAAAATATTAGCAAACAGATCAATATTACTGATTGCGCATTCTTTCATTAACAGAGGTAAAGTAGACGACCAAGTATGGCGATTCTTCTTGACTGGAGGCGTTGCCCTGGACAACCCTTACCCGAACCCATGTCCTGATTGGCTGGGAGACAAGAGCTGGTCTGAGATCGTCAGGGCTTCTGACCTGCCCAACCTGAAGGATCTTAGAGAAAGTGAGTATCGTATATAAACATTGAAAATTGTATGCCCTTGTGTTTTTAATTCAAACTTCCATATTTATGTGGGGGCCCTTTGTTGGTCACCCTGTGTCACTCTATGGTACACTGCGGTCTCCCTATGGAGTGCATCATTGACAATGGTCACCCTGTGGTGCGCATCATCGATATAGTCACTGCTAGGGGTACTGCTAGTGACCCTACAAGGGATCATTTATGGTCACCCTGTGGTTCGCACTGTAACAGAAAATCCTTTTTAATCCAGCGAATTACGCACAGCGTTTCTTATCGAATTCTCATTCTCATTTCGCTTAGCCATGGGAGATCCAGGATGGAAATCATTCTACGATTCTTCTACACCTCAAACGGAACGAATGCCTGACCCTTGGGATCTTTTGTCAGGGCTWGATCGGTAAGGATGTTTGAGTATAAAAGAGAATAGCTGAAGATGAACTTGGATCTCAATGTGCGCGTAACGCAGAAGACATATTGGAGTACATGTAACGCCATGTTGGTTCAGATAAACAAAGGATTTTGTCTTTTAATCGTTCTTTTGTCAGCCAGTGCTCCGTTGTACGAAGGGTGGATAGCGTTATTCCATGGATTAATCCTGCCTTATCTAGTGGATAAGTTGATGCTGTTAACCAATAAACTTATCCACTGGATAGGATTTATCCGTCGGATAGCACTATCCATCCCTCGTACAACCGAGCCCTGGTCTCCTGTTCCGATGCAAATCACCCTTTACAGCCAGAGCTTTAGACCTCTATAGATCATTGACTTGTGATTCATTTCGCTATTCATTGTAGCATGGTCGTATTACGATGCCTAAGACCAGACAAAGTAGTACCAGCAGTGCAGGTGAGTTATAGTCTTAAATCAGCGCTTACCTTCAGTTTCCATATTTCTGTGAGGTTTTATTAATATATAAGATGATACGCGTCATCTTTTCGAAGCTAAAACACGGATTGTGCGTGTGCACTCGTTCATCGTTCAAAGTTTTGCATACTTATATAGCTTCGTGTATATCCTCTTCTTCTTAATAGTTCCAATACGAGCGACAAGGGTTAGATCGTGTAGAGGTTTTTTCGGTTGCGTGCTACCGTAGTATAGTAATCAATTCAATGATGTATGAATATAATAGCCCTACAAATAATAATTGTTTTTGCGCAGGATTTCATCGTGGACAAGATGGGCCGTTCATACATCGAGCCTCCAACATTCAACCTCCAACTCAGCTACGACGACTCGCACAGTTGCGCTCCCCTAGTCTTCGTCTTGTCTCCAGGTGCGGACCCAATGGCCGGCCTTTTGAAATTTGCCAACGACAAAGGATTCGGTGGAAATAGAATCCAGACCATTTCCCTGGGTCAGGGCCAGGGTCCCATTGCAGCTGGTATGATAGACCAGGCTATCAAACATGGAACGTGGGTTGTTCTACAGAACTGTCACTTGGCCACCAGTTGGATGCCTAAACTAGAGAAGATATGCGAAGAGGTTATTGTACCGGAGAATACTCACAAGGATTTTAGACTTTGGTTGACCAGCTATCCTTCTCCTGATTTCCCTGTTTCTATTCTACAAAATGGTAAGAAAAGCTATAGACGCCTTGCACTGAGTCCCCAGAGGAATTGCTCTGGGGACAATACATTGGAATTTTTTTTTTTTTTTTTTTTTTTTTTTTTTTGCATAAGGAAAGACGACCTATTGTTTTGTCCCGCAGAACAATTAGGAAATCTATTCCTATAAAAAATAAATGAAAATAAATATAAATAAATGACTTTTCTTATAGTACGATACAAATTCAGTATGAATACTGTTGTTTCTTATTTGACCACTGTGATCACCCACACACACTACCGCTACATTGAATATTCTATGCATAGAGCTCTCAACTCACATGTTGATTTTTACGATCACAAAAAACAAACTTTTCGGTGAAAGTCAACCTAGTGAAGATTCCATTCACTGTGAACAACGTACTTAATGGTCCTTATACTGTGACCGTGCCGTGCCCTACCCTTCTTACTACACRCGCAGTAACCTCATACAAAAGGATTACGCTAAAGATGTCATTATCAAAAAACCTCTCGTCATCTTGACATGTGCGATTAAGTTTGACAGTTTTACAACCTGCGCCGACATTAATAGTGCGACACACGTGGACCTGGTTGAACTTAATTCTCGTGTTGTCTTCCATTCTTAGTGCAACTCTCCTTCTTGTTTCTAGGGGTCAAGATGACCAACGAACCTCCCAAGGGTCTAAGGTCAAATCTACTTCGGTCTTATCTCAACGATCCCATATCTGACAAAGAGTTCTTTACTGGATGTAACAAGGTATTTACGATGTACAATTTGTTTTCGTGCGCCTTGGTTTTCCTGCAATATATCTGTACAGTGAGCGACGGGAGGACCATAGAAAACTGCATAGATTAACCAAGGCGGCCGAAAAAATATATTGAGTGTATAGTCTTGAGAAAGACCGTTGTTGTGGTGACTGACGTTTCGACAACCTGAGAGGAAGTCATCTTTAGAGTTCAGTGAGAAAATAAAAGAAACGAACGAAAGGTCTTTCACAAACAACACGAAAGGTCTTTCTTAAGACTACATTCACCCGGACGATCAGACTTCACAACAAACTTCAGCACCTGGGTTCAAACCATTTACTCTTATTATACTGTATTCTTACTTGATTTTCCCACAGATTCCATTTTGTTGTTTTGTTTCCTTAACCTTAAATATGGTTATCTTGCTTTTATACTTCTAGCCGGATGCTTTCGAAAAGCTATTGTTTGGTCTGTGTTTCTTTCACGCTCTTGTTCAAGAGAGACGTAAGTTCGGTCCTCTTGGTTGGAATATCCCTTACGAGTTCAACGAATCAGATCTTAGGATCAGTATGCGACAGTTACAGGTACAATATCTCCTTAATTCAGTAGTTCCTAGGTCCTAGGCCTTAATTTTTATCTTGACATTTACCTTCGATTGATATTCACCTTGACCTTGATTGTCATTATGACCTTGATATTAACTACGACCTTGACATTCACCTTGACCTTGACATTCACCTTGACCTTGACTTCCACCTAGACTTCCGCTCTGGCTTTGACCTTGACTGTTATTATAACCGTAACATTTACCGTGACCCTGACTTTCACCTTGATCTTTACTGCATTATGACCTTGACCTTTACCTTTGACCTTTACTTTCTCCTTGACCTTTTATGTCATTTTGACATTTACCTTGAGCTTGACTGTCATTATGACCTTAACATTCACCATGACCCTGACCTTGACCTTGACTTCCGCCTAGACTTCCACTTTGACCTTGACCTTGCCATTGACTGTCATTATGACCTTAACATTAACCATGACTTTTTCCTTGACCTTGTATGTCATTTTGACACTTTAACATTTCCCTTAATATCAGTATCCCTTTGTGATAATATTTTCCCTCACAATTCCTAGATGTTCTTAAACGACTACGACGAGATTCCCTTCGATGCGTTGTCATATCTGATTGGTCAATGTAACTACGGTGGTCGTGTGACAGATGACAAGGATAGACGTCTGTTGGTTTGTCTGCTGTCCATATGCGTGGGTGATAACATCATAAATATCGACAAACACAAGTATGTATCGTCTGCTTGTATATCACGTGTTCATTCCCACTCCTAGCAATGTCCAATAGAACTTAGTCCAAAACTAGACCCACTTTTGTCGGTGTGCGCGCGGTGGAGACGAACCGAGTAGCAGAGACTGGTAAACGTGTTCTTTGCGCGCGCGGTATTACCTTTTATCTTTGAGATATAAATTAATCAGTTAGTGAGAAAAGTGGGTCCAGTTCTGGACTAAGTGGACCTAGGCAGCATTTGTATTGATCAGCATGTGTTGCATCATAGAATGTTCTGAGGGGAAGGTGTCTAAAATCTTAACAGCGGCATCTAGTTCAAACCCCTTTGATGTATTGCATCATGGGATAGAATGGGGAAATCGTCTCCTAAACCAATTCAATATTTATCTATCACTTTTATCCATTTATTTATCTTATGTATTCTTTTCTTTATTCAAACTATTATATATTGATGAAGTGCACGTATTGTCCAGGTTTTCAGAGAGCGGCATCTACTACGTGCCACCCAAAGGTTCCTATGAGGATTATGTGGAATTCATTCGTAGCCTACCACTGATCCCTAACCCAGAAGTGTTCGGGCTGCACGAGAATGCTGATATTACTAAAGATCAGAAGGAAACCCAAGAGGTGAGAATTGGTGTCGGGTAGTTAATATACCTCGAAATAGTGCAGTTTTTGTATGACTGTGAAAAGCTCAGTGCTGTTCGCGTTAGGTGCCGTGACCGCGATACTTTCTATAATTTTAATTGGCTGATTTTTTCACGCGCAATATGATTGGTCTGGTAGTGCCGTGACCTTGGCGTGACCGTGTCCGCACCGTGTTTATGCCGTGTTCCGGGTATTTGATTGGATGGAGAGTAAATTCTCTTGCAATGCCGATTGGTCTGGCGTATCCCTTGCCGTGTCATGGCCGTGTTCGTACCGTGAATTTTTCACAGTCATACGAAAACTGCACTATGTTATCATATACAGCAACAGAACGAAACCAACGACAGACAGACAGGCAGACAGACAGACAGACAAAAAAAAAAAAAAGAAAGAAAAAAGAGAAAGACAGAAAAAATAGACAGTGAAAGAAGACAGCTAGAAGACTTTCAGAATTAACTGTCGTGCACACTTATATTTTTGTTATTTTCCCCCCAATTCAGCTATTCGACTCCATCCTTCTAACCCAGCCACGCCAGACAGGAGGCGGGGGTAAATCATCAGCAGAGATGATCGAAGAACTAGCAAACGACATCCTCTCCAAATTCCCTCCTCCCTTTGACATGGAGATGGTGATAGAAAAATACCCTGTGGTGTATAATGAATCCATGAATACTGTCCTTAGACAGGAACTCATACGATTTAATAGACTGACTAATGTGGTCAGGACTACCTTGATTAACCTACGCAAAGCTGTTAAGGTAAAATACCAGAGTTCAAGGCCGATTTTTAATAGTTTAATAGATGTTCAAGTATAATATGACTCTTTTGATAGACATGTTTCGGCAGTCCTGCTGCCATCATCAGTGGATAACTACCGAAACATGTCTATTAAGAGTCATATTATACCTGAAGATTATTACACAATTTCCGTTTGTTAGACCTTTTAATAGATGTTGCTCATGATGATCATGATGGTGATGATTATTATGAGAATGATGATCATGACCGATGTTGGCTATGATGACACATGATGATAATTATAATAGTGATACATGATGATGATGTTACATAGTGATGATGATGATGATAAGTATTACAGCGCACTCAGTGCTGATAATAATAATGACAATGATAACGATTTTTGTTTCAATTTCTGTATTGTATGTTTTCAGGGATTGGTAGTAATGTCTGGTGAACTAGAAGATGTGTTCAATAACATGTTGGTGGGTAAAGTACCAGCCGTCTGGGCTGCTAAATCCTATCCATCATTAAAACCCCTTGGTAGCTACGTCACTGACTTACTGGAGAGGTAAGATACTAGTCTCTCTAATGATGATGATGATACATGATGAAAGTGGAGGAGACGATAACGATGATGATGATACATGAATGGTAGGGGTGGAGACGATAACGATGATGATGATACATTCATGGTAGTGGAGGAGACGATAGCGATGATGATGATGATGATGATACATGGATGGTAGTGGAGGAGACGATAGCGATGATGATGATGATACATGGATAATAGTGGAGGAGACGATAGCGATGATGATGATG